CCTCATCACTGGTTACCGTAGCCACTGGAATTGAGGTCGGAGACGAAGGCACCGTAGTAGAGGTTGACTGTTGCTGCGCTAGCTGCTCTTTGCGACGAAGTTTGAAGCACTTGTCCTTTTCATGTCCTGGAGTTTTGCAGTACGTGCAGATGATTCCTTCCCTCTCGGGCTGCTTATTAACAACGTCTGCTTTGTTTCCAGGTTTTTGGGTTGAATCCCTCGTTCTTGTTGATTTAACATCACTTCCAGAGCGCTTATCGTGCTCTAGTGATACCGAAGCAATTTGATGCATGGTATCTAAGAATATATCCACTGATTCTGCATTCAGTGACGCTGCAAGCTCCCTCAGTGATCTGCTACCGATCCCACTAATTAAGAGATGGATGGTGCTTTCCTGTGAGAGACCTAAATTATGCATGAGCGTAAGTTTATCCATAGCGTATTCTAAGAATGTTTCTTTGAAAGAATTCCATTTTCTTTCTTCTATTTTTTGTAATGCTACGTGGTAGAGTATTCTTCTAGTAAATCTTTTCAAAATGGCTTCTTTGAATCCTGACCAGGATTCGATCATAGGGCCTGATCCTATATCGTACCAGCGTTTGGCTATATTTACCAGCCTTGATGACGCCGCTAAGAGTGTAACATCCTCTGGAACCTTATGTATCCGTGCTACTTGGTCAACTCTTTGTACCCATAACTGGACGTTCTCTGATTCCTTGCCTCCATATTCTGGAATTTGCGAGGCGAGCAATGAAATTGCATGCGAAGAGGACATTGATGCAAGGGAACTTCGTTGTGACGGTTGCGAGGAGCTGTGGCTTCGTGGTGTCACCGACTCCTGCACCGGTGGAAGTTGTTCCGTTTGTGCTGGCTGTGGATTGGTATTCCTTGCCGTAAGTGCTTGAAGCATTTCTTGTAGCACTATTTGTTGAGCTTGCTGGCTCTCTAATATCTGCTGCTGCATTTGTTGCAGTGGATTGGCTATCGCCGTAATTAAGGAAGCTATTTCTGGCGTGGTTTGCCAAGACTGCCCCGGAACGGGCGAAAGACTCGGCGGTGTAGACACAGGTTTATTGG